GGGTGCCAGTATTACAGGCTACAGTTACCCAGAGAAGAGCACACGTGTCACAATGCATGTATTTATGAATACTCTATGCATTGTGTATGTGTGTGTGTCTGTGATTCACTCAAATTATTTGAGATTCAAGTACAGCACAGTTCAGTAAGACCTCAAGGCACTGAGAAGAAAGCCAGCACAAAGGCAGGCGAATTCTCCTCTTTTGGTTCCACTTCTCTGAAATAAAAACAGGATTGTTACAACACAGGGACGACAATTACTGCCCTGGCTCACGTTTGTCAAACTTTCCTAATGAAAAGGCACCTTTGAAAGCCTCGTGGCCGGATCAAACAGCCTCCTCCATGCCCTTCCCAAACACCTCAGGACGTCTCCAAATGAGATCATTTTGCTGCTGGAGTCTCCTCCGACCCGTGTGAGCAGACATCTCCGCCCAGAGCCACCGCTCACTGCCGTTTAATGATAGCCCTTTTGTTAAGACTTAGTCTCCGGGGTAACTCCGGCAGAAACCGTTCAGATAACAGACACTTTACCGAGAAAAAACGCAGTTTCTCCTGAGAAATGACAGACATAAGTGCCATAAAACACCACTAATATTTGGCTCTTGAGATGAAAAACCTACTTGGGCTCTTGAAGAACATGAGCTGAGAAGCATGTCCTGACCCTGTGGGACCTGCAGAAGCCTGCAGCCTCTCCACCCGTCTCCGTGGCTTCCCTCCCGCTGTTTCATCACGCTGGCACTGAAGCTGAAGCCCAAAACCGTCCTGCCCCCCCCGGGGACCCCAGTGCTTTCAGCTGACCACGGCGGGGCAGATCCCAGCTCTCCATTCCAGACAGATGACGGACGGATGGGGGGGGGGGGAGTGGTGTTCTGAGTTATGTTTGGATTATATTGTGGGGACCAAATGCCCCCACAACGTGATAAAACCTGTTATTTTGACGTTGTGGGATCACCGTTTCAGTCCTCACAAGGGGACACTCCATTTTATAAAAATCTGTGACTGCAATCAAAAAACTAAAATTGCCAAAAGTCTTGAATTTGTTTTGTTACTTATGGTTAAGGTTAGGGCTAGAGTTTGCCCATAGAAAAGAATGGATGGTCCCCACAAAAATGTGAGTACAAGTCTGTGTGTGTGTGTGTGGATTATGTTTATACTACATTTTGGGGACCAAATGTACCCCACATTACGATAAAAAACAATTTTTTTTTGACGTTGTGGGGTCCATTTTTCAGGTCTGTGAATGCAATCAAAAAACTAAAAATGCCTAGAACTAAAAAAGTCCTAGAAACAAAAGTATTTCGTTTGATTACTTATGGTTAAGGTTAGGGCTGGGTAGGGGTTAAGGTCGTCATGTTGGGATTAGAGTTTTCCCCATAGAAATTAATGGAGAGTCCCCACAAAGATATAATTACAAACCTGTGTGTGTGTGTGTGTGTGTGTGGCTGGCCTCTTCACTCTCCTTATAAGGTACTGTCGATCAATTGGAAAATGACTCAAAAATATTGTATTGTACACATCATATCAGGGTTATTTTGGTTTGATCAGAGGACACCTTCCAGGGCACCTCTGCCCCCCACCCGACCCAGGAAAGGGGGACTGATGGCGAGGCGTGTTCCCCCGGCACAGAGCGGCCTCGCGGAGATCCCCCTGCCCTGGGCGCGCTCAAAGGAGACATACCTCACCTTTCAAAAAAGTCCCTCCCTGGGGGTGGGTGCGGGCCGACCGTCCTCCGAAGATTGATGTCATCAGAATGAAGAAAAGCCACCGCTGTGGCGAGGCCAGCCTTAACCCCACCGCCAAAGACCACGACCCCCCGCCAATGATGCCAGCTCAGCAGGCTGCTAGAGGGATGCCTGAACACATCAGCAAGGGGGAGGGCCCTGCTTGGGGGGG